GCATAAGCTCACACTACGTATATCCTGGCATAGCCGAGCTAAGCCACCATAATTTTTTTTTAGTCCATTGAATTTGGTTTTTAGAGCGCAGCTTTTAGGGGCCCGTTCCCGGCTTGAGCGGCGTCGCCGTCGGCGTCGCCGTTGGCGTCGCCGTCGGCGTCGGCGTAACCAAGGTCATCTAAAGGTCACGTAACCCCCAAGGTCACGTGACCCCTCCCAAGGTCATCTCAAGGTCACGTGACTTCCTGAAGGTCACGTGACCCCTCGAGGTCACGTGACCCCTTCCAAGGTCATCTCAAGGTCACGTGACCCCAAGATGACCCCACGTGACCCTTTGAAGGTCACGTGACCCCCAAGTCACGTGACCCCCGAGGTCACGTGGTCGCATCCCCAAGGTCACGTGACCCCCGAGGTCACGTGACCCCCAAGGTCACGTGACCCCTTCCAAGGTCATCTCAAGGTCACGTGACCCCACGTGACCCCCAGGTCACGTGACCCTTCTGAGGTCACGTGACCCCCCGAGGTCACGTGACCCCTCCAGGTCACGTGACCCCCAAGGTCACGTGGGGGTCACCTTTGGGGTCACGTGGCCTTGAGGTCACCCCCAGGTCACGCCTCCCCGAGGTCACGTGACCCCCTCCCCGAAGTCACGTGACACCCCCCCCCGGAGCATATTAAAGAATGAGGGGAGGAGGAGGAGAAGGGGGAGGGGTCTACCCTCCCCTCAGTACCCTTCACTCCTCCTCCTCAAGAGCTGCGCTCCAATTCGGCGTTACAGGGATTTGTAAACGGCTTTCACTTTTTTTCCTCAAATCTCTGATGCTTTACTTCATTGTATCATAAAAACAGATGGAGATGTTGGCACTGATTTCCCATCGCCAGTTACCTTAAGCAAGTGTATGACGTATTCAGGTGTCTGAGCTATAACGTTTCACACGTGACGTCTATTCATATTTATTTTTCAGAAGAGCTGATGACAATGAATCCTTTGACAACATTACTAACCGGGGCAGAGAAATTGAAACTTCTTGAAGATGCGAACAAAGAAGCTATCAAACTTTGGACTATGCAAGAAACCTATGAAACTCCAATAGAGTTTGACGTTGTCAGATTGTGTGCATTTAAGCCTCAACAATGAGTCAAATCGAAAAGACACGTGTTTCCAATTTTCTTTGGATTTACGTTGTTTTTCTCTACAAAATAATTACGTTACGAAGCGGCACAGAATACACAACTGAGTATTTGAAAGATATACACTACGAGGTATATTGAAATATATAGTTCCTGCTGCACGCAATCGCTTGCAATATTTTTATTATATTAAGAACAAAAGTAACTTGAGTAAATGTTTAATTTGAATTGTTCAACAAATTGTCTATATTACAAGAAATAAAAGAAGCATATTTTGCTCTTCCGTTTGGAATTACTTGGTCTCCAGACTTCTACCTTGAACCTGGCGTTGCCTTAAAAAAGTTGTGAGCCATATCATCTAATGCTATGGAAGATATCAGGCTCAAAAAATGAGAGAGAGAAGAAAATATAGATTGATTGAGCGTGTTGGTTTCTAATCTACGATAACCAAAGAGGGACATGGAAGACAAAGTGTCTGTGGACATGGAAGACAAACAGTCCAGTCTCCCATGTTCCTCTTTCGTTATGGTAAAAAAAGAAAACCATTCAGTAGGCGAAAAGCAAAAAAAAATATATATATATAGAATTTATTTTGCGTTCGTGAGAATAATTGTCAATGGTACCTGTCTTATTCGAGGTTAAAATGCAGATACAACTGGACTTTGTCAGTGTTAATGACAGGAAAGTTCGAAGTCCCCTTTGACTTGGAGTACAGACGCCGCCTTTTCGGAGCGGCAATTTAACCGTTGCATACAGTACGATCGTACTCGAAGAGGAGAATATATATTTATTTATGTATCTAATATACTGCAGGTAATGTCAACAAGCAATTTCGGCAAGCAATTCCACTGTTCAACTGTTTTGGGAAAGAACGATCTTCAAAATAGTTTTTTTCTGGCAAAGTATGTTCTAATCAGTTTAGAGTGATTTAGTAAATATTTTGCACTTGATAAGCTAGATATGATGTGAACGAGAGAAGAAATGAAAATTGTGTCTGGCGGTTTGTTTGTGTAGGAGGAGCGGCTCCAGTTCCAGCTGCTTTAGCATATTAACTATTGATCATGAAGATCGATAGTCTGAGAAGATATACCGAACAGGAAGACATTTGATACGCTGCACCTCCGTAATGTATGTATCAAAATGCCGATCCCGTGCGATTGAGGCGTACTGTAGGACTGGTCAAACTAGAGAATGGTATTCTTGAAGCTTGGCATTCGTAGGACAGCCCTTTTTTTTTTGTTCGCAAAGAGCAGTTTCTTCAATGCCCTAGATCACTTGTTATTTAGATGTTCGTTCAACGTAAGGTTATTTTTTATTGTTACGCCAAAATACTTCACAGACGAAACAGTCTAAATGCACTGGAGTGAAATATGATAGGGGTACGATATGATAATTTTTCTTTCTCGATACAGTCCTCGCGACTGTTTTGGTAAAGTTAATTTTCATACTCTGCTGTCCGTACCAGTCCGCAAGCTTACAAAGTTTGTCATTCAGGAGTGTCTGACAGGAAGTGATCGTGATAACATAATATATGGCACCATCTTCAGCATACTATTGGACGGTGACACTTTAATTCATATGATTGGCAATGTTATTTAAATAAATTAGAAATAGTACAGGCGAAAACACGAAGCCTTGCAGGAGTCCGGACAAAACCTGTAGCACCACCTAGACCCGTTACATTCCATACATTGCGTTTGACTGTGTAGGTGTAGTCACGGGTGGTGACCGAAAGAACCGTGAATAAGCAGGAAGAAATACACGTTTAATTTGGCGAACTTGTTCCCAAAAACAGAAAAAAGGACAGCGTCGCAGGCGTCGATGGCGGCGCAACTGCAGGATCAAACGCTGGGGCGAGACTGACTCTCGCTCGCCTTGCGGAGTCCCTTATGTACCCTCCTGGGTTTCTGGATGATTCGGCGTAGAACTTCCGGTGCGTAGAACATTTGGAACTCGATCAGACGAGAATGTTCTCATACTTACGAGAAGGCCACGTTGAAAGAGTAAATAAAACGACAGTCCGTTGACTGGAATCGAACCTACACCTTCCGCGCGACAGTCAAGCGCGGTAACGCACACTCCGCCACGCACGCGCTTACTCGCAAACGTGCGTGACATTACTCCCCCCGTAAAAAGCGCATTGTCTCGATGCGACCTGCCGGGAAATAAAAAATTCGAAACAACCAAAAATAATGGCAAACTACGTAGTCTTGTGCACCATAACCCTATTGAGCGTATTATAAAACACAATTCACAGTCCTATCGATCGTAGTACGGCTTGAGGCGCACGACGTGGACGACTTTCGGTCGTGGAGGCCGGCGTGATGAAGTCCGTGTTCCGTTGGTCATTACCTCGTAGTTCAGATCCCCAAGTCGACGAACCATTTTGTAGGGTCCAAAGTAGCGCTTCAGGAGTTTCTCGCTGAGACCACGGCGGCGAATCGGTGCCCACACCCGCACCCTGTCTCCGGGCTGCACTCTAAAAAAAATAAGTGTCGATTTAACTCTTTTTGGAGTATAAGTGGCTTGTCACAGAATCCACTCTTTTAAAGAGTAACTATAACTCTTCGGAGGCAAGTGTGTGTTTAACTCTTACATATAAGTGTTCACTTAACTCTTCTATAAAGAGTAACTCTAATGCTTTTGAGAGAGTAAGGGTTAATCTTTTGATGTGTAAATGTAAGAGTTAACTTCACTCTTTTGTGTAGAGTAATTATAACTCCATGAGAAGTGTTGCCTAAACTCTTTGATGAGAGTACATTTCACTCCTTTGTGTGGAGTGACTATATCAGAAGTGTTGCCGAAACTCTATGTTGACGAGTGAAGGATGCTCTCCAGGGAGAGTTACCTTCACTCCTTCGTGTAGAGTAACTACAACTCTATTAGAATGTTGCGTGTACTCTCTATTCAAGAGTTACGAGTACTCGCCAGGAAGAGTTACCCTCACTCCATCGTCTAGAGTAACTACAACTCCATTAGTAGTGTTGCCTAAGCTCTGTATGCAAGAGTTAAACATATTCTCCCGGAAGAGCTTAATTCACTTCTTTGTGGAGAGTAACTAAAACTCCATTAGAAGTGTTGCCTGAACTCTGTATTTAAGAGTTAAACATGCTCGCCAGGAAGAGCTGTTATAACCTTTTTGTGGGGTAAATACAACTTCATTAGAAGTGTTGCCTGCAGTCTGTATTAACGAGTTAACTATGCTCTCTAGCAAGAGTTAATGTCACATAACAGCACACTTGAGCAGTTGGTATGACCCCTGCTTAGAGAGTACTTAACGCTTTAAAGGGACACTGTCACAAAACGCGCGCGCCCATGCAGTGCCGGAAACGGCCGTCGAATTCTCTGGAAGGGAGGGAGACCCCGCACCAAGGTCGTTCGCGCAACCAGATCTTTCTAGAAGCAGAGAGAAGGGAGAAGCGGAGCCTCCCCTTTCCAATAACCGTCAGGAACATTCTCGAATGTCTCGCGACGCCGACGCAACACAACACCGTCACCGCGCCGTCTTCCCCCTCACCTTCGACAAAGGAGAGAGTGTACCCCCGGTGAACTGCGTAAGTGCGGACTTGCATGGAGGAGGATAACGCGCCAATACTATAAAAACGAGCCGTGGCTGCGTATGAGCAGCTCGAGGGTTGGACTGTCGCTAATTTCGAGTCGGAGGAAAGCGACTGCACCTCAGCTCACGGAAGTCTGCGAGACGTTTGACGTCTGCAAGAGGGATTGTCGCTGCCGCCGCTGGGCGAACGGACTGCAGTGCCCGGGGGAGTCAAGCCCACAAGCCCTGCGAGAACTTCGTCGTCTGCGAGGGATCGTCGCTGCAACTACTGGACGGACTAGGGAGCCTACATGTGTGCTGCGCTTAGGGTGATGCCATTCTTTGTAATACCAGTTGCCGACAAACCAATGTTGCCAATCTCGTTACCATGGTTACCCCGCTATGTTTGCAGCCATTTTGTTTCACTGCGATAATCCCCGTTAGGGCTAGTTGTTGGTACGGTGAACAGTGCGGCGAGTGCGGTGCGTCGTCCCGGGTCCTCGCCAATGAGAAGTTTTCATATGCAATGCCGGTTTGCTGCGTTCCATACTGTCGGCAAAGTTACAAGAATGGTGCGAAGTTGTACAGATTTCCAGCCAATCCGGAAAGAAAGGCGGCATGGGTTTCGCGGATCAAGAGGCCTCTCTGGGAGCCAACGAGTACATCGCGTGTCTGCGGCGTAAGTACAAAATTATCATACAGCAGTACCGATGTTCGGTTTCGTACACTTACGCTGTCGGGTGGTCGAACGAAACGTCCAGGGCAGTCACGTCCGTGACTACTCTGGGACAGCTTTGCTCGCGGACAGGTGTGCTTGCGCGCGAGGTTCCGAGCGCTCGCGCATCATGAGCATTCTGCTTTCAAAACTGCATCGTCGCTCTTCGCTGCTTCTGAACAGGGACACAATCCACCCCTGAGCATATCTGCGTGACTTTCTGCTTCAAGTCATAAAAAATAGGATGGTGTACGAGTGCGTGCCGGCTGACACAGCTGCGTCGTAGCCCGCAGGTTTAGCAGCGATAGAGCACAGCAGAGTTAGCCTGCCGCCTTACATCTGGAAAAACCTTAACCTATCTCATGTAAGGAGCCTTCATGTATTTATAAATACAGGTACTATTTGAAGCTGGGATCATGTTTCACTCAGCGTGTCATATACATGAAACAGAGCAGAAACTGTTTCACAATGTGTTGTGTCTGAAAATCCGGTAAACCTTTTTCAGGTACACTTCGAACTATCCTGTTTTGAGGAGAAACGTGCAGATGGGTGGCGGCGCCTCAAATTGACTGCCATACCAACATTGTTTTCCTCTCAAGGTGAGCAAAGCCTGGTGGAACTAGGAGATGCACTAGGACACGGGAAGGAAAGACAAATTTTTTTTTTATTATAATGTTAAATATTTTCATAAAATAAATTAATTCAATTAGTGTGATGTGCCATGCTCCCCGATGCATGCAGTAACGTCTAACATTTGCTAGGAAAAAAAGAAGACAAGCACGCAGATTAGTTTGAAATATTTCTGTAACTTTATTCTATTCAAATGTGCCAATTAGCAAGTTCAGAGCCTACCAGGCTGTCCAGACTCTCCATGTCCACCCCCAAATGCCCATTATCGTGACTGCACAAAAAGAAAAAATCTGATCGTTCCTTCAGTGTGGCACATTATGCAAAAATTGCACGGTAATTTGTTTTTCATGATGGCTAAACTTAATTATTGTGTTCTTTAATTTCTTCCAGCGTCTCCGAAGTACAAGCCAGCAGAGCAAAGCCCCGAAAAAGTAGTGCCGCACCGATTTGAAGAGGCAGCTTGCATCAGTGCATCACTTGGAGCCACAGCCTGCGATCCTCCTATTCATGCCTCATCTGAAGAGGGAGTGGCAGCATCATCCAGTACGCCTTAGCCAACAGAAGAGAAACAACGCAGCTCGGCCGCAAGCACCTCGAGCCATGAATTAAGTACAAGCGCCACAAGCACGACCAACAACACAGCTTGTGTCAACGCATCACCTGGGACCGCAGCTGGGGATCCTCCCATTCATGCCTTAGCTGAATCAACTATCCATGACGAAATCTGCAGTGATGCTACAACTGGATGGAGCGGCCCCACACTTCAATCTGTTTTATCGACTGCCGCTTCATTGACACCTCAGCAAGATGACTTCATCTCTGACAACGATTCCATGGATATCGTCACGGAAGATCCTACAAACATTATGTCACTACCTGAAAATGAGCCACCACCCAAAAGTGTGACAGAAGGAACAGAGAACGTTTGTTGTCTGGAGTTAAAGAAAGCTCTACACGACGTCCTAAAAAAGTACAGTTCTCTTCAAGAACATCATGTGAATGCAAGGAAGCAGATCCGAACCCTCAAGAGTCAACTAAAATGTGTACAACAACAGCTTCAGGCACTTAAGGAACCGAAGTTCCTGGCCGACGATCAAAAGAAGGTCCTTGCAAAACAAAACAGCCGGGGTATGACATGGTCAATGACAACAATCAAGCAAGCTCTTCAAGTCAAGTTTGCATGCGGCACCACGGGGTATGAGCTCCTTCGGACACTCCGCTACCCTCTGCCCAGCACCAGGACATTAATGCGAAGACTACAAGGCTTTTGCTTCTTACCAGGAATTCTAAAAGAAGTCCTCGATGTCCTGAAAAAAAAAGTAGAGACCATGGAAGATGCAGAACGGGACTGCGTTCTCTTTCTAGACGAGATGGAAATTTCAGGGGGCATAGAACATGATCAGCCGCAGGATTGCTTTCTCGGGTCTGTGACTCTTCCGAAGATGGAGGAAGTCGAAGCTAACCGTGCTTTGGTTTTCATGTTGGGGGGCTTGACGACCCGGTGGAAACAGGTAGTAGCGTACCACTTCACGGGGCGGTCGCTTGAAGGCACCCTCCTGAAAGACTTTGTCCTCCAGATTGTGAAGTTGTCCTTCGAAGCGGGACTAAAAGTACTCGTGGTCACCAGCGACATGGGTGCACCAAACAGAGCAATGTGGCGCGAACTTGGCCTTTCAAGTACCAGGGACTCTGACACAGTGTGCAGCATATCACACCCATGCCTTGAGGGGCGCCGTCTGTATTTCATGGCCGGTGTCGCCCATCTGCTCAAGAACATTCGAGCCCAACTGATTCGCTCAGACATCTTCTTCCTGAGCAAGCGGATTGTTGAAGAAAACGGACTCCCCACAAACATCATCAAGCTCGAGTATATCGACGCAACACTGAAGCTAGATAAAGAAAATGAACTAAAGGTGGCTCCTCACATGTCAGACATTCACCTCAGTGACGGTCACTTTACAAAAATGAGGTTGAACATCGCCGTCCAGTTTTTTCGCGAAGCTCCAGTGGCCATCCGCTACAGAGTGAGCCAGGGCCAGTTGCCAGCTCAGGCAGAAATCACTGCTTGGTTTTGTGAGCTTGTCTCTGTATGGTTCACTTTGATGTCGGCGAGGCATCCAGTTGTGGCGTTGAGTAATTTCGATGCCACAAAACACCAAGCTGCCATCGAAAAGCTAAACATCACAGCCTGCACCTTCCGAGAGATGACCATGGGCTCGACATCACACTGGAAGCCTTCACAAGCAGGACTTATAACATCAACCACAGTTGTCTACCAACTTCAACATGAACTCCTGAATGAGCATGGGTATGGCTATCTACTGACTGGACGAACGACACAGGACTGTCTCGAAAACCTATTCTCGGTTGTCCGTCTTCGAAAACCAGTGCCTGGAGCCTGTGAGTTCAAGTGTGCTCTCCGCATGATCTGCGTTAGCCAGTTTGTCCAGACTCCCAGGACATCTGGCTATGCTGTTGATGATGGGGAACAGCTTGCCGACTTGTTTTCAGAGGGTGCGAGGGTTCCTTCAGAAGAGCCTGAAGCTCCAGAGGAGATCATGGATTGGGTGCTGTCAATGCTATCCAAAGAGGAGAAAGACATTCTAGCGTATGTAGGTGGATTCCTCCTGCGTGCAGTGCTTAAGTCTGTGAACTGCAACACCTGCAAAGAAGCCCTGACATCAAACTCGAACAGTAAACACAGCACCCTGATCAAAATGAAGGAATTTGTAAAGCACAGTGAGAACTTAATCTACCCCAGTGATAAAGCCATGGAGTTTTTGATCGAATGTGAAGAACAATTCAAGGGCCTTGCATTCACAACCAACATTTTGAGTCTGTGTTCTCCATTTAAAAGTATCGCGTCTGTGCTTACAAGAAACAGCTCGGTGAACACCGGAGTATGCTCACAGCACAGAGACAGTGTGGAGAAACTGCTTCTGGAGAAGTATCTGCATTTCCGGCTGAAGATTCACCTCAAACAGGCCCGTCTAGAAAAACGTGCAAGTGGCCATTCAAGCAAGACATGTGCTGGTGTAAACCTTTCATAGGGTTTGTGTGCTGAGCAGTGTGCTAGCGTAGCGATTGTAGAGGCATGCAGCTCATCTATTCAATGCTTTTCAAATCTATCTTTGTGTATAGTTTTTTTCTGTCGTGTGTTTCAAAGTCCCGCTTGCCTTGGTCCAAATATGTAGAGTCAAAATAAATAAGGACACACTCTTTTTGCTTTTGGAATTGTTACATTGACTGAATGTGTATTCACTCTAAGGCAAATCATGAAAGGTATACTAAAATAATTGGAACTTTTTTTTTCATTAATAAATGTACCTCTGGCACCATTGTGATAATGCTTCTACACCTGCTGGAGCCACTTTTTGGAAGGCCGTCCCACAAATGCTCAGATAGCTGCTTCCAGCTCATCAGTAACCTAAATATGGCAGCCCCTAAAGGTTTTTTTTTTACTGATGACAGACGCCTTTGCCGCGTCGAAGTTCTTTGGGGGCATAGCAGGATTATTACGGGGTTCCAACTCGCCCTTTTTCCGCCCCCCCCCCCCCCGCTCCCCCCAATATAGCCCATTTTCTGTGCACGTACAAGCACAGCAACCACTTCTTGCCCCCGAGTCCACTGCTTTGTTAGCTGGATAGGCGCTCGAGGATACCAAGTGTCTAGATACACTGCCGCCCAGGCACGTAGCCAGGATTTTGTTTCGGGGGGGGGGGGGGGGGGGGGGGGGGGGGAAGGGGGAGGGGAGGTGGTCCCACCCATGACAAAATGCTGTATGAGGGTATGAGGGGGAGAGGAGGTCCCAGCGAAATGGAAGATTTTGGAGGGGGGCCCAAGCCCCATGGCCCCCCGGCTACGTGCCTGCTGCCGCCTTGCCAGTAGCTGATGAGGAGACGCAATGACGATCCGGAATATAAGTATTCAGTGAAACTGTAAAGGCCCAGTGGCCTAAGTAGAAAGCTTTTTGAGGTGTATGCACTGGTTGATTTCTCCAACCTTGCTGCTCAAGCCTCGACAGTTCCACTGTCGAACCCCTAGGATGGGCGCAGGAGCTGAAGGAGCCATGGGCGAAGGCTAGCTTCGATAGATGCATCTGTAGAAAACGCATCTATACTCGCGGTCACTTTTCTGTGGCAATGCAGTCAATGCTAGGGGAGAGGGTGCACCAACCGCTGTACACGCACATTCCTCCTCTTTGGATTGCCACAGAGAGCTGACCGCAAGTATAGGCTGACGGTGAGCCATGCCAGCAATTCAACCGCGACTTGCAGTTTAAATTCAAGTCGTGTGAGTTTTTGACGCTGGTGAGGTCAATGATTCGAGGCCAAATCATACATGGAACTGCAAGCAAGACGTTGCACCAGAGACTTCTTTGGGAACCCGATCTAAAGCTAGAAAAAGCTCTGGAAATGTGAAAAAAGGACGAAATTGCTGCCAAGCAAATGAAGGTATGGGAGGGGCCAAAGAAAACGGTCCATGTCGTTAAGAGTAGAGCGTTGGAGGAGCAAGTTCCTATTCACAAACAAGGCAAAGGAAAAGAATGGTGCACGAAGTGCGACTTCTTTCACCGGGGCCCCATGTGTCCCGCTTTGGGCAAAGTTTGTAGACCATTTTGAGGCTTATTGCAAGACGGACCGAGTGCGTGAAGTAAAGAACATTGTGGAAAAAAGAAGCGAAGGTAGCCCAGATTTTGACATTCTTGAAATCAGCGGGTGCAATGCAGGACGTGGTTCTGAGTGGCTCGCACCGGCAACTGTGGATGGCAAGGAGATCTCACGATCTCACTTAAAGTGGACACCAGAGCACAACCAAACTTGCTCCCACTTGTGGCTGCACTGCGTCAAAAAGAACACTGTTTTGAAAAAGAGTGCTGCAGTCCTGGGAAGTTGCAACGGTAGTGTGATTTCACACAAAAGGAAAACCACCTTGATGGTGTTATGCAAGCAAGGCATTGTAGAATTTTTTGTAGTGAAGAAATCTCGTACTTCGATTCTGGGACCCCAAACCTGCGCGAACAGTTAGGTGTGGTAAATCGAATATCGGGTGTCAGTGACGACACCAATGCATTGTTTCAAACTTTCCGGAGGATGGCTTAAGCTTCATCAAGAAAACCTACCCACATGGTGCTTAAGGAAAGAGCTCGGCCATAAAGTATGATATTAAATATCATCAAATGAGAGAATAATTCTATTGAAAAGAACTTTCGGTGACATGGTTTAATGAACAAGAAGAGATGAGGAGAGGTGCAGTAGGCTAGCACCAGGGTTCTTCCCGCAGTGGGAGGCAACAGTTCTGCCGTCCACTAGTTAGCTGGCCGCCCACTTTTGTGATGTCCAAGCCACCTCTATATTTTGCTGCGGGTGGACTAGACGGCGTTGATTTTACAAAAGTTTGATGCTTTCAAGCCTCATTTGACAGGAAAGCGTCAAACAAGACTGAAGCCGAGTGCGACATATACTCAACACACGAAGAATTCACAGGGAGCAAATCTAGTCGAACAGCCACGGATCGTCGGTCAGTCGAGCCTGTAGCCGACAACTCCAGACGC